GTGGGACAGGAGGGCTCCAGGTACACCAGCCTGGAGAGAACAGTTCCAGGTGTGCTGGGCCAGAGGAGGATGGTGAGGGTTCCAGGTATGCTGGAGCCGTGGGGCTGCGTCGTGCTCTCAACATCAGGAAACGTTTGATAGAGGCTGACATTCTAAATGAGGCCGAAAATATTTTATACAAAATGTGATAAAGCAGTAATGATCCCAGAGGCCTAGGGTTATCTTGGTGATTACCTGCACCCACCACTTGAATCAGCAGCTTTACGGGGTCCAGACCCGACACGCGGATCCCTCGGAACTCATTAGTCCTGTGTACTTTATATAGACTCACCTCTCAGCTGCTTGATTCAAACTAACCTTTTTTGTATCTTAAAATCTCTGCTGCCACAGCCTTGCTGTATTACCATAACAATAACCAGTATTTCAATTTTAAGAACTCATTTTTCCTCAAATAGAAAGTGCCAATCAATTTAAGGAGCAGGAGAGGCATGCTGGAGCACAGGCAGGGCACGTGCGCTGGGGCCTCGCCCTCCTGCTCCAGCCCATTCTGGGTGGGAAGTGTCTTCCTGCACTGCACTTTTCCTCCTCACTGGCCACTGCTCCTGGCTCACGCTGGACAGAGGGCATTCCCCTCAGAACCTTGAATCCTTGCAGGGGAAGTCATGGAAGGGGATGGGGAGCTGACATTTACAATGTTTCCCCAGTTGCTGCAGGGAAAGGCCAGGAGTGAGGTGTCACATGGGACTGGCAGGAAAACCCTGCCCCGTCACTCTGCCCACAGCTGGGCAATGGCTGAAGGGGGGTCCCCAGGGGTCCCCAGCACCCTGAGGGCACAGGCAATACCCTGCTGTAGGTGGCTGAGCTCTCCAGCTTCCCTGCTCCCAGTGGCTCCAGTCAGGGGTCCGGGGTTATGGGGAAGGCTCCGGGACATGTCAGAGCAGATGGCTGGGGAGGGGGCCAGGCAGTGCCAGTGTCTGTGCCTCATCTGACTGCTGGTGGGGTTTATGCCATGTTGGTCCTCACACCTGACAGCTAATGTGAATTAACTATTCACCTCTTCGTTGGGCAAAGCAAATCTGCAGAATTTATTACTCCAAGCCTGTCAGTTAATTTAAGTTCAGTGCTTAATCAAGTTCCAGTGATCATAAATGGGACACAGGGATTTCTCTCTCCTGAGCACCATGCTCAGAGCTTACATGAAGCAGTGTACAGTGTCTGGCACTCCCTGTGTGATTCTTCCTCAGATCAGCCCCCACTTGTCCCCACTGGTCCCAGGGCAGCCACCTGGGAACTGGTTCCTCTTGCTGGGTTCTGTGGTGGGCTCCAGGCTGGGGGCTTTGTCCTGCCATGTCTCGGGCAGTGTTGGGAGGGGTGGGAGGTGCTGCTGGGCACTGCGGGGTGCAGGGGCTGGGAAGTGTCTGTGCCACCCCCGAGAGCCCCCAGCGACCCCAGCTCCTCCCTGGAGAGGGCACACAGGAGACTTCACTTGGAAACCCTTCCTTGGGTCCCACCTTGGCTGGACAAATAGCCACAAGAAAACCTGCTCTGGGTGCAGAGGGAATGTCTGTGGGACAGGAAGGCTGGGCAGCAGAGGCGCTGAGCTGGTGGGCACCAGGAAGGATCACAGCATGGAACTGCAGGCACCCAGCAGAACAACGCCTTTGCAGTAGGCCTGCCCATGTGCTTCAGAGACTCTCCAGCCCATCCATAACTGGGGAGGAGATGCTGTCCAGCCACATGGGCAGCACATTCAATTAGGTTTCTCTCTCCCAGAATGTGGCACGAGAGGCAATCTCTCTTTTTTGAAGAATGTAATAACAGAGTGCAATGGAAATGCATCGAAGAGACTCCAAGAACAGGATCCCTGCTTTAAATCTTGAAAGCAGTCAAGAAAAATATGTTGTTTACCTGAATTTGTTTTTCATAAGGTCTCCCAGAGGATTAATAAACTAACCCTTCATCTGTGAACACCTGGTCCTACACGCCATCAATAACTCCCTGCACCCTCCGTGTCAGCGCGCACTCAGTGGGAGAGGCAGATTGCAGGAGCCTCAACAGGAGTCACCAAAATGCCCGTGACAGAGAGGACACACAGGACTCTTCCTGTCCCCAGGGCCCTTGGGCTGCACAAACATGGAGCTGCTCTGGACCCGTGTCCCAGATGTGGCCCTGAACGTCAGGCTGGGGCAGGGCTCTCCCGGGAGCACTGCAGTGGTGGGGGGAGGCCCTGGCACGGCCCTGCCCTGGGGGGTGTGAAAGGAGCCAGGTGCCCTGGCAGCAGCAGCAGCCTCCCCCTGAGCGGGTCTGCGGGCTCCAGCCTGGCATCCCTTAATTGACTGATCGGCTCGGACTGTCAGCGCTTACAGAGATAATTCAATTTATAAAATCCCATTAAGTAGTGAAAGATTTTTTGATTGTTGAATTGTTTCCTATGTTATGCAAGTCATTTTGGTTCCTCTCACTTGGAAATCCGCTTCCCATTTGCGAGAGCTGGCGATGGAGCCGTTCCTCTGTGCTGGCTGGTGCTCAGATTCTCTGAGGGTGGGTGAGCGTGGGACAGAGGCAGCTGGGGCAAAGGAGACACCCCGAGCTCGCGGCCTGTCAGTGTGCCATGGCATCTGAGTGTCCCGTGGTGTCCCAGTGTCCCGTGGTGTCCCAGTGTCCCACAGTACCCTGGTATGTGGGATCATCCCTGCAACCTTCCTGCAACCCTCATCTTGGGCACAGGCAGGGGTGTGGCAGCAGCTGCCCCTGGCAGCCCAAACCATCCCTCGGCCTCCGTGTTCCCGTGCCAGAGCAGCACCGGGAGCCAGCGGCTGCTCTGGGCGCTGGCAGGGCCGGGGTAGCCGTGTGTCCCTTCCCTGGTGACCCCAGGCAGGAGGACCTGGGGCTGCCATGTGGCAGCTGAAGTTTGGTTCCCATCTTCAGCTCTTTGTTTCCGTCCCCCACCCCCACCCTGATGCAAACTCCCCTCTCCGGTTTGTTTCCATAGAAATCCTCAGCTGTAAATCCTTAAGTAACTTTTTTTTTTTTTTTTTTTTTTTCAATTTATAGTGTGCTATTAATGTCCTTTCAAGCCGAGGACTCCAGGAAATGAAATAATAGAAAAGGCACCACTTTGAAATGCATCCAGGCATTTATTGTTAGTAAGTGAAAAAGTAACATGAGCGTTTAAAGAAAATATTGGCAGATAAATTGGGTTTTAAAGAAAATATAATTGGATATAATTTCTGCTTCATTCAGTTAAATATTTATTGTTTTATTGACTTATTTTCTTTTATTTATAATAAGAACCTTAAGCTGAAATTTAATTTTCCTGATATAAATATATGTTTTCATAGAAAATTTGGCATTTAAAAATGTTATCTCAGACATTAATGGCTTTGATAAAAGCACGCGGCTTGTGCAAGGGTTTGGTTTAGATATTTCCAACCTCAGTAAATATGAAGTAGTCTCTATAATCATCATTATCATAACAATTACTATTATTCTAATTAATGGGTAAGCCTAATGGCAATGCATCCACATGGAAAATCAGTGCTTGCTGCGTATTTGAGTTCTTCCCAGAGTTTTTGCTGAGATCTGCAGAATTTGAGCTCCTCAGAGGAGCCCTGCCCCGAGTTCCTGCCCCGCTGGGGTGAGGACGGAGCCTTCTCCCTGCCGGGGCTGGGAACAGAGGGCTCGTTTTGTCAGCAGACAGACAGACAGACAGACAGACAGACGGAACCGGCAGCACCATCGGAGGCAGAGGCTTTCCGCTGATCTTCGTGGAGTGGTTCAGGCACCAGCACACGGCTCCGAGAGGCTGGAGAGCCGCCGCTGCCGGCGGGACACGCTCCGGGAGACTCAGCCTCCAAGGCAGGTGAGCTCCAGACACGGTCCCGAGACCCCAGCTCGGGGTCTCAGCTTTCGGGGGTCGCGTTGACCCCTCCCCGGTGCTTCCCGGCCTTGCCGCAGCTTTCCCGCAGGTGTAACCCCGTCCTGCCGGAGCCTCCCGCGGTGCAGCCTCTGCCCGAGGGCCGGGAGCTGCCCGGGCCCGGCCCTCCTGCTGCCCTGGGTGCGCTGCTGTCCTGCCGGCAGCGCTCCCCACAGCACACGGGGCTGTTCCCATGGCAGCGGCTGTCCCAAACGCTGCTCCAGGCCCGCACTGATGGGCTCCCCTGGGACAGGAGCACCAGCACGCACCGGACTGCCACCGCCTGTTCCCGGCATGGCCACACCAGGGCCAGGAGGATTTGCTGGTTCTCAGGGTGCTTTGAGCCCTCCTGTTCCTGCAGTGTGGGCTGTGCTGGTCCTGGGGCTCCCAAAACTGGAATGGAGAGCTCGAGCCCTTTCCCCTGCCCTGACCCCTCTGATGGGGACAGCCAGGCCCTGTGCCAGTGGGGGAAACTTCTCCCCAGAGGAGCACTTGGTCATGAGAAGAGAGAACAGCCCAGCTCGTAACAGGGATGCAGCTAAACCACCTGCAGATGGAAATGGTGTTTGGATTCAAACCAGTGCTGAGAGGTGAAACGCTCTGGGCTTCATTACCAGCCCCTGGAGTCACCCTGTCCCCCTGAAATATGTCATGCACACTTCAAACCTTTCCATTTTTATGGGCAGGTTTAACTGCGGCACAGAGCAGCTTATATCAACAGTGAAAAAACGTCCGGCAAGAAAAGGCCTGAAATGGTCAATATTTAACAGGTCCTCTCTGTCCTCTCCTTCTATGTATTAAAATAATTAGTTTAACAAAGAGGACTCTGTTCCCCTGTGTCTGAGCACGACATGTCTGGTGCAACAGCGCAGCTGTAATTCAGTCTCGGGATCTGCTGGCATTTACACTCGCTGCTCCACACCGCTCTCCCGGTTTATAGTGTCAGCAGAACATCTTGATTGAATTACAGCTCTGGATTCAGTTAGGAGCCAGGGATTATTCCAGATGTAGTTGAGTTGTAGGTATCTGTCTGTGCTTACTTGGGGAGATAGACCCTCAGGAAAATCAGGAGACCAGATGCGAGATGGAGCTCCCGGCTCTGGTGCCACACGGCACGGAGCCCTGGCACGCCTGCCTGGCCTGCAGCAGCTCTGGCTCCTGCCTGCTGCCCTCACGGTGCCCAGCACCCACAGCCTTGGGCACAGGGGTCCCCTCTGGTCCTTCTCCTTCTGAAGCGAGAGGAAATCCTGTCCTGCAGCACCACTGGCACACGTTGCCAGAGATGGCCGCTGAGAAAGAGACACATCAGTTCAGCTCATCCCTGAATTCCACTGAAACTCCAACCAGACTCTGGAAAACAGGATGAGAGGATGAGGCGTTGGGAAGGTCCGGGGTGTGCCGGGTGCGGAGGGGCCAGCGCTGACCACAATGCCCGGGGCCAGGGCCAGGGCTGTGCCCGCGCCGGCTGCAGCGGGCTTGGGGTGTGCACAGAGCAGCGGCTTCCAGTGCCCGGCATTCCCCGTGCCCGGCATTCCCCGTGCCCGGCATTCCCAGTGCCCGGCATTCCCAGTGCCCTGCATTCCCCGTGCCCGGCATTTCCAGTGCCCGGCATTCCCAGTACCCTGCATTCCCCGTGCCCGGCATTCCCAGTACCCGGCATTCCCCGTGCCCGGCATTCCCAGTACCCGGCATTCCCAGTACCCTGCATTCCCAGTACCCTGCATTCCCAGTACCCTGCATTCCCCGTGCCCGGCATTCCCAGTACCCTGCATTCCCAGTGCCCGGCATTCCCCGTGCCCGGCATTCCCAGTGCCCGGCATTTCCCGTGCCTTGCACACCGCAGCTCTCTGCAAGTGCTGATGCCTGGGGCTTCGCTGCCAGGGAGGAGGGAGCAGCACGGGCCCAGGGATGTCCTGCAGCCACATCCTGCCTTTGTCCGCACCCTCGGGCAGCCGCAGCCAGGGCCTTCCTCTAATTTGTCTTGTTAATCGGGAACAGCACACTGATCAGTCATGGTGAGAGCTGGAATAATTGCAGACTCAAAATAGCACCGATTTAAATCTTTCAGATGATAATCTCTTGCCTCGGAAATGCTCGTGGTTAGCAGCCCTGGCAAAACTCTTCCCAGGAATGCCATGCAGGAGGAGAGGGCAGGCGAGGGCAGGCCAGTGAGGCACACTGGCATCCCCAGCCGGGGTGGGGACCCCAAAGCCCTGCTCCCCACAGAGCCCCGGGTGGGATACCCAGCCCTGAGCTGCCCACGGGGGCTCTGGGAAGCGCCGTGTTCAAGCAGATGCCGTGAGCAGCAGCTCTGGGGGCTCCCGGCTCCCTCTGTGCCACGTCCCCAGCACCGGGGCACGGGCACGGCCGCCCTCGCCCCCAGAGCTGCCTCCAGAACGGGCCCCCTCTCCCATCCGCAGTGCCAACATTTCCAGCAGGATCTATATCTTTCCATAGGCAGTTTGTTTCATCACAGTAACATAATAATGTGCTGAGAAGAGCTCATAGTTGTGAATTAATGTTTAAAAGCTCTCACTTTTGGGTTGTTGAAATGAATGTTAATTTGACAAATGGCAGCCATTGGGATCGAGGCAGCATTAACATGGAAATCAGAGTTAACCTCCAGCGGGGCAGGCGCAAGGTGAGAGGAGCAGCCGTGGCAGCCGCTGTAGTTTTTCACCTGATGCTCACACTGTAAATACTGCCAGTGCCCGATCTATTTATAGAACTAATTTAAAGGCTAGTTCAGGGAAATCTGAATGACATCTCCTTAGGAGAGGCAATCGTGGGGTATCTTGGAATATGTCAGGCAGCTCTCTTGCTTTCTCTCTCAAAAATACTCATATGTCCACTAAATCAATTTGCTTTTCTCTTGTAACTGCATTTGCAGGGCCATTCTTTTCCATTTTCTGTCACTGTCAGACTCTAATTCATGTCACTCTGCTGTTCAGGAGGGCTGGAGCCTGCCCCTCTGCACGTCACCAGCACAGCTCCCCCGTCCCTCCTGAACCTGTACCCAGGCTGGAGGGGTCCAGGGGGCTCAGGCTTCTCACTAGGGCTGAGGGTCACACTCCAGGGTGCTGCTCTGTTCCTCTGGGTCTGGACATAAACCTTTGCAGAAGCAAAGTGCTCCTCCATGAGCCAGTGCATCTCCAGGTTATCTTCTGTGGGGTGGGGTGATCATAACGATTTCCACCTTTTTTTTTTTAATTTTTTTTATTATTTACCTTGTTTTCCTTCGGTTTTCACTTATGAGAAAGGATGAGAATTTTCAAAAGGACAAAAGAATGCAATGCCAAAACTCTGTGTCCTGGGAGCAATTATAGCAGAAAATCCAGGGGAAAGAATTCTGAGCTTAGGGCAGTGGCTCTTGAATGAAGAGAGATCTGCTAGCACTGCACACCTGAGTGACCCCCATGCAGGTGCATTTTACTGGGTAACTGACCATGGAAACACAGCTCCAGCAGTCACTGACCCCTTCCAGGAGGGAACACTTACTGTGGCCCTGACCAAACAAGGAGAGCAGTCCCCCTCAGTCCTCTCCACCTCTGGATTCTTCAGATGGTGTTTCTAAAAGTGAGGTGGAGAGGAGGCTGCAGACCAGAGGATTTCAACCCAAACCCAGCAGCTTTGGCTTTGCAAATTATTTAATGTTTTGGAATGTTCCTTATATCTCCAGACATAAATATTCAGCCTTGCAGCTGGGAAACTTCTTTCCAAGTTGATTTTATCAGGTTCAAGTACAAATTTTCAGTTAAAAACCTTCTTTCCTTGACTCTTAATTGTTCCTGGCCAATAAATGGAAAAGAGGAAAAGGGAGTGAATTACATGACCTGTCCCTTTTTGTTTATTAAGAACTTCTTTCCAGTGTCTGATTCTTACAGAAATATGGTTTCAATTTTCTCTTTGAATTGTGGATCAAGAAATGTTGCCAATACATATTTTTCTCTGTCAAAATTTCATTTAATCTGTGGTCTGTAGATGTCTTGAGAGCCATGTCTCCTTTCTGGGTTATAACTGTGTGTGCCTCTTGTCATGTTAGTTTTCCATTGGAATCACATTTGTTCTGGAAAGGCACGGTAAGAAGAAGTGACCAGCACTGTCATTCCAGGTGCTTTGGAGGGACTCAGGCCCACGAGAGGTTTACACCACCTGGCTGCAGCAGGAGGGGACCCCTTGTAGCCCCGAGCTGCAGCTCACACCACCCTGCCACACAAACCAGGTGCAGCTGCAGCCATGACTGCTCCCTGTGCTGCTGGGGCTCTCCTGCAGCGTCCCAGGTTCTCAGGATATTGCTCTGTCCCAGCACTTCTCTTGCACTGTGAAATGATGCACTCCACTGCAGTTAGCTCTGCCTGTTTCAGACTTTCAAAGGATTAACTTTCACCATCTAAATGAGGAGAAAAGGGAAGAAATGCCTCACAGCCTCTCCTCGCCCCCTGAAAAGAGTTTTTTCTGATGGAACTGGAATGCTGGAAATAATCCAGAGGAATTCAGAAAATGAACCTGTCAGAAGAATATTTTAATAAACCTCCCTTTTGAACTGCAGTATCAGCAGAGCTCTCACCCCTGCTCTGCCAGCTGCAGACAGCCCAGGCAGCATCAGGGAGCAGAGCTGGATGAGGGGCTGGAGCTGAAGCGCTGCTGGGTCCAGAGCAGCTGGACCTCTGTCCCTGGAGGTTCCAGCTCTGCCTCCCAGGGCCTTGCAGGTCTGTCCCAGGGCACCCTCCTGTTACTCTGTCACTCCTGTCACTGCACAGCTCCCTGAGAGAAGGCTGGAGCAAGGTGGGTGATCGGGCAAAGGCTGGACTCAATGATCTTGGAAGTCTCTTCCAACCTTTCTGATTCTGTGATGCTGTGATTCTGTGTGGAAGGGGTGGGGACACAGCTGGAGCTCCTCTGGCACCACATCACATCAGGGGAGCTGTTCTGGGTGGTGCAAGAGCATCCACCATGCCACCACCTCCCAGCATTTCCTCACCTGTGCCTGGCCAGCCGTGCCATAAATTAAAGGGGAGCATCTTGAAGGAGGCTTTAATCAAAAGTTGGAAGTTGCAGGCAGCACGTCACAGTTCCTCATCAGGGTGCCATTATAATGCTCTGTAATTGGAAAGACGTTAATATTGACAGTGTTGTGAAGAATGTCCTGCTTCTCCCTGCATGCGTGGATTTGATAGAGTTGAATAATAGAACAGATATGATGGATTAGAAAAATTCCCCAGTTAAGGTCCCTAATTATAGAGTTTTACCTGCCCAATTAAGGTGTACTTGAGAGGAAACTAGACACCAACTCTCTCCAGGCACCTGAATGCTCTGGGAAGCCTGAGCAGCTATGACAGTGCTTGAGGATTACTGGAATTCTTTCCTTCTTGAAATGTTACCTTCATGATGTCTGTACAGTGTGGAGCTAAAATCCAGCCAGAGGCTGAGCACCTGTAAATCTTGCAGATCCACAGGCTCTGAGCTGCACGGCCATTCTGTGCTGCCTGGATGTGGATTCCAGAGCAGGAGCCAGCCCAGTCCCCACCAGGCCACAGTCCATGACCTTTGCCTGTATTTAACAAATCTGAGCCCCCTCGGCCACGTGGCTGCCCCGCTGCCCGTCCCTCTGTGCCCATGATTGGAACCCTCAGCAAGGCAGCCAGAGTGAGTCCTGCCTGCTTTTGGGGCACCTGGGGCTTTGGGGCTCTGGTGCAGACCCCGAGCCACCCCAAAGTCTTGGAAATCCAGGCCTGTGGGACAGAGGATTTTTCAAAGTAAATAATAATTTGGCTGTCTGCAGCCAAAGGATGAATCATGGTAGGTTTCCTTTAACCGTTTTAAAAAGCAAAGGCAGTGTTGGTCCTGGAGTGGCTGACGAGTGGCACCTGTGGTGTCTGTGGTGGCACCTGTCCCCCTGGAAGGGCAGGCGTGGTGGCACAGAGCCTGCTCACCCCTCCCAGGAGGAACAGCCGGCTTCCTGCTGCTGAGGACATCTTAGCATCCAAGTCTCCCTCTAACCCCTCCCTGTAGTAGTGGGACAATTATCCCATAAATTCTGAAATAAATGTTCTGCTGGGGCTCTGGAGTCTGTTTACCCGAGGTGTGCTTTCTTCTCCAGAGATATTCCCGCTGGCTGCTGAGGGATGCAGACATGCCGGTGCTTTTTTCTTTGCCCCTGCCTCCCTTTCATCTGCTCCCGTGATGAATTGTAGGGGAGAACTACCCAAGCCTGTCTGTTTTGGCTTAGATCAGCTTTTCTTCTCATTATAATTTAAGTCTTTAAGGGTCTTCAGCAGGAGCCTGTAAAAGTCAGATCACTCAGTGCTGTTGACGCCGTGTGTTTCGGGCAGTGATTCATGCGGGGCTCCTTTGTGCCGCAGAACAATGGCTTTGTGCCGGGCTGGCGCCCGCGCCGGCACACAAAGGGTTAACCACAAAATCCTGTAAGAGCTGAAAACTATGGATTGAGCAAAATCTCCCTGTCAGCTCTCTGTGATTTTGCTGAGAGCACTTGGACATGCTGGCATTGGATTTACAAATTGAAAATCATTAATAATTCTAACCAGGCTGTGATAAATCTGAGATCAGTCTCGATGAACCTGGACACCATTTCATAAATCAAAAAGATTACTTAGGAATTTTTTAAAATCTGACGTCAAAATGTCATGGTTACTAATGGTTTTTGTAGATCTCTTACAGTGATATATCATTTATCTACGCTACATCTAAAATGTGACACCAGGGCAGAAATGTGATGTCTTTAATATCATGAATACATTTTATCCCATAATAAAGGTATTAACAACTTCTTGCTGTGAATTGTACTTGAAGTTCTGTGCCTGATTTAGTGCTATTGTTATATTGACTGGTTTTCCCCCAAATACGTGCACACAAACTGTTGCTCCCTTTTGTGGTGACGGGCTGAGGCCCCAGCGAAGCAGAGGAGGTGGTGGCTGGGTCCTGGCTGGCACCCTGGTCCCCTCCTCCCTGCTG